GGCAGGAGCAGAGCTGCAGGCAGGACCAGATACACAATTTGTGGGGCCCAGTGCAAAATAAAAATTCAAAGCCCTGTGTCCAAAATTTATTAAGAATTTCTAGATGGTGAGAGCAGGACATTAAATCTGAGCACAGGGCCCTGCAAGCTAGGACTGCATGCTCATAAAGCTGGCCTTGGGTGCTGGGTCTCCAGACCTTTCCTTCCCTGTCAGACCACACAGGGGTCCCTGCGGCACCTCAGCACACAGCCTGGAGAGGGTCACCTGAATTGGATGCCCCCCTTGGCTGGGTGACCTGCACAATTGGCCTTCTCAGCCTTGATTACAGACCCCATGGGGTGGGAGACCCTGATGAAGCCCAGGAAGAGACAGGTCAGAAATAGTTAAGTCTCCGTTGCCGGACACGAAAAAAGACAAAAAAAAAAAAAGAAAAGAAATAGTTAAGTCAAGAAACAGCATCATTACCCCCTCTCAGCAGCAGCACTTATGGAGCACCTACTGTGTGCCTTCCTCACAGTGGCATCCACACTTTCTCCTCTTCGAGGCTGGAGTCAGGGGCACTGGGCCCTACTCACTCTGGGGTTTCGAACAAATTTCTTTCCATCTCATGGCCCTGGTTTTCTCTGCCTAAACCCTTCAGTGGCTCCCCTCACACTGAGAATATGTCTCAACATCTCACAGCAGCCCCCAAAGCCCTGCAGAGTCCTTGTTCTCTGACCACTGTCCCATACACTGGCCATACACCTGCTTTCTGTCCTGTAAAGCTCATTCCTGCCTCAGGGCCTTTGCACATGCTGCCTCCTCCACCTGGAAGGCTTCCCTACTCCCGGACCCATCTGTGCATAATCGGCTCCTTCTGTCCCTTCAGGCCTTCCCTTAGACATGCCCCTGCCTCACTGAGGCCCTCTTCGGAGGCCCTTGCAGCCTCCCCAGTCCCCATTTTAGTTCCTTCGTAGAACTTGCCACTCACTGAACCTGTCCTGATTACTGTTGGCTTACTGTTTGCTACCCCTGCCCTTACCCCTAGGACTGTGAGCCCAGGAAGGTGGGGCCTGGGTCTGTCCCCAGAGCCTGGGATGGGACCCTGCCAGAGTAGGTGCTCCATAAATATGTTGAGTGAATGAGGGATTCATAAGGGTGCTGCCAGCTGGGACACTCCAGGATTTCAACCCTGAGATGCCACTCCTCCTGGGTACACCTCGGGAGGGAGCAGGCCAGAGACAAGGGGAATGAGTTGCGAGGGCCCG